CCCCCCTCTCTCTCTCTCTCTCCCCCCTCCCCCTCAGGCCGAGGGGCCCCGGCTAACGCGTCCTACCTCCCGCGCTCCCGCCGCGCCCCTTGACGTGCGTTTTTCTCGACACCGCCCCCGTTGCCCGACCAGTGCTGCGAGAGTGTGATCTCTCTCTCTCTCTCTCTCTCTCTCTCTCTCTCTCTCTCTCTCTCTCTCGCTTGACCTCCGTTTTTCTCTACCCCGCCCCCGTTACCCGATCAGTGCTGCGCAGCGAGTGTGAGATCCTAGAGACCGGTCATGGCTAATAACGGGGCCCTCATGGAGTCAGTGCAATTTTCGAATCTGTCACTCCTCCTCCTCCCTCATGCGACAGACACCTCTCTCAGCACCGCGATCCCTTCCGACCGCGGCAGTGGAGCAGGCAGTGGCGGCCAAGACGCCATGTCAGGCGGATCCTCCTCCTCCTCCTCCTCCCCTGATCCTTCTCAACAGCCGTCTAATTCTATGATGATGCACATGACCTTTTATTGGGGAAGACAAGTGTCGATATTGTTCGACGCGTGGCGCACTGACAAAACCTCCGAATATGGACTTGCCCTGCTGGCGATTTTCATAGCGTGCCTTCTGCATCAGTTCTTGACTGTCTACAGGGCGAAGCTGGAAGCTTCGTCGTCGATGGAATCAACGGCGGCTGCTTCTCGAAAAGCCCGGTTTCTGCAAGATTAACTTGAAAACGCGCAAATCCAACCATCGCCGACTTTGGTCGACTCGTATGTCTCCTCCATCTCCCCCCCCTCTCTCTCTCTCTCTCTCTCTCTCTCTCTCTCTCTCTCTCTCTCTCTCTCTCTCTCTCTCTCTCTCTCTCTCTCTGTGTGTGTCTGTTTTGCGCTCTTCTTAGCCTGTTCTCCTGTCCTCCCGGATTTGTACTCAAATCTCCTTGTGTATCGCCTCTGGTGTTCCTTTGGGCCCCACCGCAAAACTCACCAGATGTGCAATATGAGAATGGATCTTCCTCTAAAAATGGAAAGATTCGCCGACTTAATTTTTTCTGTCTTTTGTGCAGTTGGCGAGTGGTGCAGTCGTCGCCTTAATTTCTACCTTTTCTCACAGATCGGTTGATTTTGTCTTATGGAACACCACTCGCGAAAAAAAAACTAGAAAAGAACCACTGCATCTTGCCAGAGATGCTAGCAGCATCCCATCCGTTGCTTCGACTACAAGATCCACTCGCCTGTTTTTTCGTTTCTTGAGTAGTGTGGCTATTGGCCAATCTCTCTCTCTCTCTCTCTCTCTCTCTCTCTCTCTGTGTGTGTGTGTGTGTGTGTGTGTGTGTGTGTGTGTGCGTGTGAGCGTGTTTCTTTCCTGGCTCCACTACATAGCAAAAAACAGTGTACGAGTTGGCAGTGGTCCAGATACGCGTCTCGTCGTGTTCATGTTGTGTAACAGTTGTCTTTGTCGTTGTCGTCCCTTCTTATGTCGAGCCTGGATATTGACGAATGTCCACTTATTAGCTACCTCGGTCCTCCAGGCTCGACATAAGAAGGGACGACAACGTAAAACAGTCGCAGGCTACCTGCACCAGCTTGGTCTTGGTCTTGGTCTTGGTCTTGGTCTGACATTTTGGGTAATAAACGGGAATGTAGATATAAAAGACTTATCCTGGAAAAGCTTCTGGACCTGTTGGTGGTCGGCGTCTCAAGAATGACATTTTTTCTGTCTGTATGACACTGATTTTGTTTACGTAGATCGTCATAGATAGTCAGATATGCCACGGAATGTCTACTTAGATCGTCATAGATAAGTAGAGCCTGCATTCCATTGGCTACAGTAGGAAAAAATCTCCCATAGCACGACTTGCATAAGGTGCAAGAAATTGAAGAGGGGCAGGATCTGATGCAGCGATGGCTGCCACAGTAATGGAATATATTCTTAATTAAGCACGCTGCTTCTTCTGGAATATAATTTTGACGAATTGAATCCGAGTTTTAGCCGATTACAATGTCTATTACTTTGTTTGTTTTCACTGCGCAGGAATTGCTCAATTACTGTAGTAGGATTTTGCAGCAAAAAAAAAAAAAAAATCTCTTTTTTGCTGCTCTAGGTTGTGGAGCTTAAAAAAAATATATAATTTTGACGAATTGAATCCGAGTTTTAGCCGATTACAATGTCTATTACTTTGTTTGTTTTC